GTTTTTTATCTTTTTCACTCGATTCCAGTCCCAGTCTACGTTTCACCCCAAGCGCTATTTCGCAAGTCTTCAGCAGCCTGTCACCTCACCGAGCAGAGCGCCCAGTCTCCAATTCCTATGTGGCAGATATCAAGCTGTTTTCATGGATCATCTTGATTTAACACGTATACTCTGAACAAACTGTGAACATATGTCTGGTCGCCCGTTACCTCTCGAGTGGATTTCTAATCAATTTGGCTATAGCATAAACGTTTCGGCAGAAAGTTGGTTGTCTCTTTGACTGGTTGTAGCTTGGTGTTGAAAATGTCAATACTCCGTGACGATGTCAACTACGATGCCGGCGAAACGTCCGATTCACAAATGTCACTTAGCATCGGTCCGATTAGCCCGGATCTGCTCTACCAATGAAGTTTCTATATATCATTTTAGAGGATTGACCTTATAAGCCACTTCGTGTACATTGAGCCAGCTTAATGTGTCTCTGTTAGCTCCTTGGCTGGTTCATTTTAGTGGATACATATAGCCATCGTAAACCCACTAGAAAACTCGATGGTGGCAACTAATATATTCTACGTTTGACCGATCCACCGAAAGCTATTTGACACAACTCATTAGAATTGCCTGGTATGGAATCCCCGTATTACTCAAAAACCCTTTCCCTAAATTATTACTTAATGCGTCTTCATTGGCAATTTTAATGGGCCATGGGTCTCACACAGTCGACTTAAACAATAAGCAGTTATTATACATTCTTCCTTCCTTTAATTTATTGTTAACTAGATTTATAGGACTTCCTTAAATTAGGGTTCCTATGGCTTCCATGAAGTTTAATTTCTTTATAGGATAATCTTTCAGTTATACTTATTTACTAGAGGACGCACACTAACTAATTGACAATATTAACCAGAAAGACGTAGCAAAACAAAAAAAACAGTTAATGCAAATTTAAGGACACGTTAATCTCTTATTTTTACACTATATTCCCTATCTTTTAATTTGTGCATAACAATACACATGCTACCTTGGTGAATCCCAAGTGTTAAGAGTAGAAGAGAAATATATCCACCGAGAACTAAATTTTTTTTAATTCTTGAATTATTCGTCCCATAATCCAAAATCAGCCAATTTTTTTGAGAAAGTTCTTCCAAAAAACATCTTCGGAGCAAGGTAACTAAAAATTTACAGGCATCGTTAGGACGACTTCGTCCTTTTTCATTAATAATTTCCATTTCCTTAATTCAATTTAAGCACTAAAGGAATATGACGAGTTTCCATCACTATGTCAGAATTTAAAATACTCGTCCAGGTATAATATAAACAGTCCTAGCTTCAATGGCAACATTTTGGAGCCTTCTTAGGCAATGATTATCTAGTCAGTAGAGGTAAAGATTTAAGTCTATGGGAAGACCAAATAAATGTTCATAAGAGCTACCAGTAAGGGCAAAGTAGGCCACCATTATCTAGGATCATCTACCTTAATAAATATATGTTTTATGCAGTGCCATCGAGTTAGATTATCCTGGAAATTGATTGTATTTTAAAAGTGAAATAAGTTAAGAGCGTTGAAATGTCATAAATATGATAGTTCAGAGAATAGTAAATAATTTAATTTATATGCCAGTACTGGGATAATTGTCCTTAGAAAAAAGGTAAGTAAGAAATTGTGTTATTAAAGG